ACGTAAAATGGAGAAAAAAGAAACCAGCCTGTTGCTTGAAGTACCGCCGATCCTCCTCATCAACTAAAACAAGATTCAAAAGATATCTGACGGAGAATTTCTTGCTAACATCGCGCATTGTAGGTGCAAGATCATGTCCAGCGAGAAAAAGACGTATCGGGATGGATTCACCTATGACAAAAGACATGAGAAACTAAATACAAGTTATCATTGTGATCTTCTTCTCACCTCTTACAGGTGCACCATCCATAATCTCAAACTTTGCCACTGGATCTGTTTCCTTGGCAGCATTCGGTCCGGATCCAACAGTCTCAGATTTTATTATGGTAATTTCCATATGTTTAATCTTGATTCGAACGAGAACGAAGTAGATTTTGCCTACTATCACATCTTGGAGGTGGTATCTAAAAAAATAGATAGATGCTGACGCAGAGATGTCACCACATTAATTTCATTCACTTTCACAGAAGTATACTTTCAATAGTACGATTTGGCTTGCAGCCGTGGAGTTTCACTCCCACGTTGTATAGCCGCAAAACCATAGTAAACGGTATATATTCAAAATTATACCACTACGCCGAAACCGAAAATACTGTCACAATGCGCCTATAATTCAACACACTCATAGTAAGGTATTGTTACTAAGGAAAGAGAACCCTAACACACTCATAGTAGGGTAGTGTGATTAAGGAAAGAAAAGGGACACTGCAAAAATGCACTAAGACCCGACTTACCGCTCACTACTTCCTTGAAAACTACCAACTGATAACAAAGCACACTGCGTATAGTTATCATTATTACGTAAAGTATAGCAATCCAAACTGTTTACACTGTGTGTGTGTCATTCAATGCTTTCAGACGTGGAAGTAGACTAATCACAAAACACACTCACATGATTCACAGATTTGTGGGCGATATCAACAAAATTTGAGGAAACTGAAATTTCATTTACGACAGCGAGATTCAAATTCACAGTGTTTGGTAATAATTTCTATACAATAAGTTTTGCACTGTTCTTGACTAAGCAAAGTTTAGTGGTTAGAACATTTATCACTCCAAGGCAAATAAATTATGAAGTAAAAAAAGTTTCCTGTTATCCTATTAAGCTGGAAAAGTCGCTTTCGTAGTTATAAGTATGTACGTTACCAAGATTTCGATAGTCATGGAAAAAAAGTTAAATAAAACGATGTAGTCAAGACCATATGATAGTAGATGCTCATCAACCAGAAAAACATAAAAGGCCAAATGAGGAATGAAAGAGATACGGCTACTAGCTTACCTGCTCTTATTGTACTCAAACTCAATGTGAAGACAATCCTCGATTCCAACCTGAAAATATGCAAAATCGATGAAAGCACAAGAAAGATTCAGAATAAGCGAGATCACTTACGTCCATCTTCAGGTTCACATCCGCATCTGGATAACTGCTAAGTGTATGCACAATGAGGTCCATTTCTCTTGTTATGTCTGTTATTCGCCGCACAATTGTTACTCTGAGGAAGTATCTGCAAAGTAGCAGATAATTTAGCCAAAATGTTGGTGAAGGTAAAAATAACCAAAAACAGTAAAGGACTGAAGAAAGAGAAGAATGAAAGTGCTAACCTCAGCTTAACATTAATACCCATGTAAGACTCATATGGCTTCTCCACATTATGAAACTCAAAATGAAAAGATGAATTCTGAGTTAATTCACCAGGTCGAGCAAGATCTTTAGTCAGTGAGATGAAGTCTTGTTGGTTGCCACGATCATAGTAAACTTCTGGAATCGAAGTCACTTTCACAAATCAAATAGGAATAAAAGTGCACCAAAAGCAACAAAAAGACACCTATCTGTCCGATGAATTCAATCCTTATGCCCTGATGTTCAAGTTTCTGATTAGCTTTCTTCAAAGCAACATTCACAGTACCAGAAATAGTTTCGCCATCGTAAAACAGATAATGTGTCTCCTGCTGCCCATCTTCTCCACGTATTTTTGCTGTCTAAAAGCGGGAAGAAGCACCCATAGCAATTTTTGAAGGAGAAGAACAAACATCAACACAGTTTCAAAAAAATCAAAGGAACATACTTTTCGCGTCTCTTCATCATCCAACTTTATAGTGATATCGGCTGATTGCCCAAATCCAAAAAGAGCCTAAAAAGAAGGAGTAAATGGATCTATCTGATGAAATTTGAGTACATTCTTAAAATTAAAACGAAAAAACAAGTTTTGCATTTGCTTATCTTGCTCAATGACGACAAATTGAGAAATTGCTAAAATTGAATATACATTCTTTCTAATTCATCATTTTTATGCCCTTTAACTGGAG